ACCAATTGTAAATGCATTTTTTATACATAAAATAATTTTACAATATATATTCCCTTTTTCATTCTGTTACATGAGCAAACAACACACATAGTATTAAGCACATAATTAATATATTCACAAATTTATTCAAATTAGGTTTTTTTTCAAGTAATGCATGAACAAAAAAAATGAATACGACCAATATAAATTGATTATTGATCAGTATTTGCAATTCATACTTTCTCGGTTAAACTATTTGTTGTTAGCACAACTTTAAATCGATTGTTTTTGTTTGTATAATTTACATGCTATTCATAGTTCAATGATACATTCTAAAACAGATCTTGAATCAAATGAATTATTAAACTATGGAGAATGTATTCAATAGTAAATCAGCAACTTGTTATGATGATTCATGAAATGCTTTATTGTGTATTTAGAATGTGATGTAAGATAACTTTTGAATAAATGATTATTTTGTCAGTTGTTATGGTAAGATTATACCATGAAAGAAGGTTAAGTTAACTTACTGATTTTGGCTAAACTGTAATAATTTTGTGATTATCAGTCAAGATACTACATAGAAAAATCATGAAATGCGATTGTTGAAGAGCTAGTGGAATGCTAAGATTAATTTGATTGTGTTCGATTCAGAAGGCAACAATCTATACATAATAATTTTTTAGATTATAACAGCTGACTTCTTTTCCAGTCATTCGAGAATGATTCACGGATAAATGATATTGTTAGTGATGGACTAAATCAAAGAGTAATTAATAAATGCAGCTCGTTCACTGGTATAAGTAAAGTTAACACCCAAACAATGGGATCAGTATTACATGGAAGTGTATTTACGAACTCATGACGGGAACAGCACTGTTTATAGATAGAAAGAAATGAACTGGTAAAACGTTTATTAAGAAGGGAAGCCTCGAGGGAGGTGAGCAAGTGGTCGACTTTTCGGTTACATGAATAAAATACCTTACTTCAGTTTATATAAAAAAGTCGTATACTTCTCAACTCCATTAGCTTTTCGTTGTTTTTTCTTTAAAAACTATTCGTTTTCATCATCTGATCTTTGGTTAGGTAAAATTGAGTGAACGTTTCTCGATGTCATCCTAAGGGTTATTCAAATTTGTCCATGTAGTTTACTTTTACCAACTAAGCCTTTAACAGTTTACTCAATCTACAGAAATATTTGTTTGAAAACAATACACAAGGCACCAATGAATGTAGAGACTCAAGTGTTCAAACATGAAATCTTCAAATGGTATCCTGAACATATAACAAATGTTTCATCAGATAGTCGGCTGATTTACCTAAGTATTTTATCAGTTTAGCAGCTATTTCTGTAAATCCATAAAAATAAACTGAAGGCAAACTAAGAGTTAGATACCTGAAAATGATCTATGACCACTAAGTTATATGGTTTCTTTTCGTTTCAGATTCAACATTGATAAGATAATGTTACTTTGAGAAATGGCATTATTTTTTATCAGAACTGGTTGCCTTATGTTAGGTATTTCCACTGTTTTCAAAAAGAAGGATATTGTTAACAACATGTGATATGCATAATATTTGTATTTTTTGATAACGGGCATACTTGACTGAGTTCTTAATATAAGCTATACAATAAGATTACAGCTAAAAACTTTGATCATAGCACTATTTTATCTAGTAGTCTCCAAGTAACGATAATTTAAAACCTGTTCTTTTTTAAACTGATTCAAGGTATATTGTCATTTATATGACTTTTGATAATTACTTCAGAAAAAATGAAGTTGAACAAAACTCATATAATTACAATGAATTTTAAAATATAAAATAAAGATCAGATCATGTTCACATGACTTACTGAAAAAGATGTACTGAACAAGCAAATAACTACTAAAATTAAATGATTTAATTTAGCAGACATTATTAAACATTGTAACTAGTTGGTTAGTACTATTTTGAAACTGCATACATTTAGATAACTACCAGAATAGTGAAACTGAGAGAGTGATAGTACTGTAGTCTGTGGACTAACTAGCACACATTTGACTCTTAAAAACGTTTGGTCACTGGAATCAGATACAATCAAACACGCCGTAAATCTGCTTTGTCATAGATTTAAACTTTTTCTTAACAGTTAATTATTTCAATCTTTAATGATTTTGGATTCTACTTAAAATTTTCATGGGGCTAAGATTTTAGGCACAGAATAAAAAGTATAGTAAGAAATAAGTAAAAAAGGTACTAGGCAGGAAGTAGAAACCGTAATGACTAATAATGTTTCTTTGTTACGTAAACAAAGTTTTCTGACAAAAATGACCTTCGCATAACAAATAGTCATAATAATAATAATTGTCACATCAATCTTAAGTTGGAAATTCGGTAAATAATTGTTTATAATTTACTGTCGGTAAAGTTCAATATTCACTGACCTTACAAAATAATTTTGAAAGAAAGTTTGCATTGATTCATTTGTTTCTCCAGTTATTTTTGTTCTAAAGTCGCAGTTATACTAAAAATACTTAAGTATGAAATTTTTAAATTAATAAATAAATATGCAAAAGTTCTTTTTCCCAAAGTACCTTGATTTGCTCTGAAAATAATGTTCCTGTCGTAATTTTTCAAAAGGAATTCTGTACTTCTCTTTTTTCTGTAACCAGATGACAAATAAACTGCTGACATAGAAAGTATAAAACAAATTCTTCTTAAATAAATAATTCACGAATATTCTAGTAAGAAAAAAGTCATATTTTGGAATTTGGCGACGTAAAGAAAAATAGATAGTTCAAATTCAAATCTATTTTAGTCACTATCAACTTAAAATGAAACAACTGTTGAAGTTTTCTTTATTTAAAAGAAGAAAAATAATTTTAAATTATTTTTATAATCAATTATTTTAAGTTCATATGATTGATTCAATGAGATAATTTCATTTCTTCAAGTTTAAAACTATCGGTATCAAGTGAATAGTTTAACTAGACGTTTCTCAATGTAGTACAGTAAATCCTGTTGTCTATCTTAAACTTGCTTTACATAGTTATTAAACCTGAATACATAAATCTCTTATCTACTGGTCACTTTATGTAGTAACTTATACATGTTATGAATATATTCCATGTAAAACGTATTTGACAGAACTTTCAATTGATATATTTATCAAAAGCATTTGACTGTAATATATTTAGGCAACAGCAAATAAAATCGAAATCATAATGTTTCACAGTAGGGATTTTACTTTTAGTTTACAGAGTAAACTTTTGCTAAGTCCAATGGGAATAAATTCAAAAAAAATTTTTATAAGTAAATACTTTTCGTAAACTACAACTGCATGTTTTGAAAATTGTCAATTCTCCGAAATTAGATTAGAAATTTATACGCGTATTCAATTTTTATTAATTGCTATTGACGTTCTTTGGTTAAGTAAAATTTAGACGAATAGTTTGTTAGTCTTCACTAAAATATTTTTTTGGAATACTGTTTCACCCAAAACAATTTGTCGACCGACAAGCGAAATTATCTGTAATACTTTTCTATTATCTAAATGGTTTAAGTAAAAATATTTTAATTTTATTAAGATCACAAACCAACTTAATTTGGACAACTTTTGAAGACCTGGGAACACTAGCTGGTCATTCCATCCTAGTGCAAGATGAAACCATAAAACCACATCCGGGAGTCGAACTCAGGACTTGTAACAAGCTTGTGAACACTCTACATGTAAACCACTGATCCAGGACTAAGTGGTTTACACGTCTAACTTCAATCAACCTGCAATAATTCATGATTGTCTTTGATTGTCTTAAGTGAAAAACTTCCGCACATCTAACAAGACTGAATCCTACTGGGCAACGCTTTCCACTAAAACTCCAGAATTTTCTCTCAAAAGTAGAAACTACTGAGCATGTGATAATTATCAGTATGGAAACTGTGGAAATGGTTGGATTTTACTGAGTTTATGAACGGCCTACTGTTTACAGGTTTTCAACGGTTATCTAACTTTGATGGATTCACGACCTGTTAACAAACTAATTTTCGTATGAACATCTTTACTTTGAAATGTTTTATCATTTTGAGCTCTGGTACATTTATCATTTCTGGGACTTGTAAATTATATTAATATCGCAAACATATAACACTGCAGGTAAATTTTGACATAACATGTTGGTGAAACGAAGATGAAATTTCTTTTTAAATTAGAAGTCTACTTTCTTATCCTCATTTTCGTTGCGTAAGAGCCTCTCTGTTATATACAACACAGTTGTTCTTTGCATATGAAATTTTTAAAAAAAAGCCAGTTGATACTAATTAAAAATGGAATCTTAAAAAATTGAATTCCATCGGAAGTTATCAAAATCAATATCTGCGTATATAATCTAGAGAAAAACAAACTAATCATGTGAAGGAAATTAACAAGTTGACCAATTAATAGTGTGAACATCAACACTCATCATTATCAATTCATCATGTAAATGAAAATTGATAGTTAGTTCTGCTATATGATTGATCAATGCTCATCTTATTATTTGTTTCCACTGTAAAGTAAAATTATCAGTTTACATTTCTTACACACCTAGTGTCACAATATCATTTCAATTATACGAATAATAATTTCTCTAAAAATGTTATTTTACTCTTTGTCTATTTAATATTCAATGCTAATAAATTCAATATGGATTATATTTTGCATTGTTTCTCTAGGTACTACTAATGATGAATAATTTTAGTTATTTAAAAACTAACCATTATTTTGTGACTTGAGGCTTTGATTTGATTACTGCTTTACCAGGTATATGATACTAGGTTAATGTCAAAAAGTTAGCATGATTTAATTAATACAATTATAGAAATAATGATCAAACTGTAATCAATATGACTGACTAAATTTTGTCAAACAATTGTGTTTTTTCTGATTGATAGAACTATCATTACAGTTTTTTTCGACTTTCGCATATTACATGACTTGTTATGTAGGAACTGAAGGTGTTTTATGAAGACTGGTTTGATATCATATACTGTGCTCTTCACAGATTGCTCTTTCTTAGTGAACCGTTAGAAACCAAAGATAATTGAACGAGTGTTTTGGCCTTGCGTAGGATTGCTCATCAGTTTTATAATATGAGCACGCTAAGAGTTGAACCTAGGACCTTCGCGTCATGTAACAACTGTTTAACTATTAAAAATAATGGTCAACTTAGACTGACACTACTTTAATTTCAATATATATATAAGTAATAACCGCTTAGACAAAAATATAATTATGCACAGGAGACTGATGGAAAAAATGAATACCTTTAAATTTGACTGGAACATTATTAAAAAATTCGTCTTTTGAGATATCTTCCACAATATTTAATGAATATTTAACCAATGAGCCCCATTCAATGTTGTATTTATCATGGTTACTATGGTAATGTTGCATTTCTTTTGCTAGTGAAAATTACGGAATAATTATGTTATATATTATATTATGCCTGGATTGTTAGCTTCACCGGCTTGTATATAGACTTCTGTTTGATTATATAATTCGGCGAAACATTATTTCAGAAACCTGAACAAAATAAGTTCATTTATGGATATTACCATCAGGAAATTTATAGGTAACTTAAAACCTATTCTTTGTATGACGGTCAGCAGAAGCATTCAAGATACACAGTTTGTCCTAGAACTCACCATTTGGACCTGTTTCCTTAAGTTGGTCTTCAGTCCAGTACTCGAGCATGAACTCAGGGATGCAGTTTGGTCTAGTTGTAAATAGGACGAACTGTGCGCTCTAAATTCCACTAATAGTCACCATCCATCTTTATTTATAATCCTTGAGACTTTGTGACAATGCCGAAGTAATCTGCGCAGGATGTATAAGTACCGAAATAGACTGATTGATTGAAGTCATGAACATCAGCAGGAAGATTTGAACAACTAATATAAATGAATCAAGACTTCATGTGTTAGCTTCACGTTTCCATTTAGGGTCAGATCCATAATCACAATAAGTCGTGATGAGCAAAAGTATATTTAACAAATGAGTCTAACAGTCTTGTTTTATATAGTTCGCCAATATTAGCATACAAATTGCTTCAGGAACAGATTTCATCAAGTGTTTATAAGAAATTTTCACCAGTGAATTTCACCTAGTCAAAATTGAAATAAATATCTCTCCAATTACCGTACGATATTGATGGGAGACGTGACTAGTGGAGTGTAGGCAGTAACTACCAAAGACAAATGAGTGTAGTTGCGCAAAATATGTAGATTGATTAGAGTTAGACATTAACACCGATGGATGTCGGCTCAGTGGTCCAGAGGTTGGGTGTTCGTGCACGAGACCGGAAGCCCTGGGTTCGAATCCTGTGAGGTGCAGGAGTCGTGGTTGCGCACTGCTGATGAGCCCCGTACCAGGTTGAAACGGCCGTCCAATGCTCCTAGGTTTCTAATGGTGGTCTAACAATGATTGATTGACAATTTCAGTGTGTAAAAAACACTAATCTCCATAACTCTAATTGAAAATAAGTTCTCTTAATAGGATCGTTTCGTAGGAATAATTATTTCGTTTCCATTATTCTTATGACTTTTGTATGAATCCTTACTGCTGACATTTCTTCACTATTTAATAAATTTCCATTCAATCTTTATGCATCATCATGGAGGTATTTTTCTCACATAAACAAATTGAAATCATCACTTGATGCAAGTTATTGCAACATAAATAAACTTTGATAAACTTATTCATTTTCTTAGATAATTGATTTTAAAAATAAAATGTATTTACGACAAGCATGTTCCTTGTTATTTCCATTATTATGAGTAGTATTAATGTTTTAAATTACGAATTAAAATTTCAAATGAAATAAAAGAGTATTAAGAGAAGACATGGATATTAGAATTAAAATAATGTCAATTTTTTGTTGCTTTCAAATGAATGTCTATGGATAGATGCAAGAAATCATTGACAATATTTTAATTGTTTTAAATGCATAAAAATAATTTACAAAATTATTTATTTATTGGTTTATTGTTTATTTTTACATTTAATTCAAAAATTGTTTTCCATTAATTAGTCAATCACTGTCTGTGTGATTCTAATGACCTCAATATTATAATTATAATAATCATAAATTTACTGAACTATTTAAAGAAGACATCGTGGACAGATTCAGTTTTTTTCATGAATTTAAACTTATTGTAAATGAATAAGAAAGTAATAGACGATATTCTGCTACAATTGGTTTCTTATTTCAGTCTCAATTATTTACTTTATATTAACATATATATGAGCATACTGTTCAAAAAATCAGTTAAAAATGTATAATTTTACATTAATCAATTAGATTGAAACAAATTCGCAAACTGTTTTATGTAGAACCATAAAATGACAACTACTAACTACACGGTATACCAATTGTTGACTGTTCTGAAGTTGAACTACATACTAACTACTTACTTACTTACGCCTTTTACCCCTCGTGAAGCATGGACCGCAGACTAGCATTCTTCTACAGTTTTAAGCAATCGCTATTCATTCTCTTCATGTCCATCTCCGATTCTCAGAGCAATGTGTTCCACAGTCTTCCTATTTTTCTTTAACCGTAAGGATTCTAAGTTAGGATTTACTTCGTAATGCAGTTAGGGCTTTCTGCAATGTGACTCCTATCCATCTCTAGTGCTTTTGCATAATTTCTTCCTATGCTGGAATCTGGTTTGACCTCTCCCACATTAGGTCGTTAATGATGTTAAACAATATATCTACATAAAACAGCTCAATTTCCATTCATTTTGCACATTTCGAAAATTCCCATAGATATATTTGTATACTTATTTGAGAAAGAATACTTGTTTTACAATTATTTTTTATCTTATCTGATATGTTGCCGTTTATAGACTAAGCTTCCAAATTATTATTAATTTATACAAATATCTTTACCATTCTTTGTATCAATGCTGATGTTCTTATCTCATGTCTTAAATGATAAAAAAATTATAAAGCAATCAAAACAAAAAAATAAATCAAATAAAGACCGATAACAACAACAATCACACTAAGTAAACAATATTGTCGAGAAAAAAAAATTCCTCGTTTAAAAATACCAATTTGACAATGATAAAGCATGAATTAATCGTTCAGCTAATTTTTGCTTTACACGCGAATTTTATTTTATTTTTTTCGCCCAATAAACACACTGTTGATTCAAGCATGGTAATTCAGTGCATTGAAATTAGTTGTCCAGTTCGAAATTCAATAAGTTAACGATCTTAGAAAACAAAAATCGGTCGGATTAAGGCATTTTCGATTGGGAAAAATACAGTTAGTTATCAATTCACACTATTCAGTTCACTATTTTGAAAATAACCATTTCATAGTCATATCAATACATGGTCTTAAGGAATGTTCAAATGTGAATTCAATTCTAATTAGTATCGGTAATCTTCACACTTGAACCAAATTATTTCAAATTAGAGGATAATCATAATAATAATAAATAACAGTCAATAATTCAAATCATGGTTAATCTATATATGCTTTCATAGTTCCTTTTTCAGCTAATATCATGAAAATGCTCTAACTTTTCGACTGGGTATAATCAGGAAATGAATAATAATGTGTATTTCCTTATTAAACTGCCTGAAAATATAATACTTACTTTTTTCAAAAATTACATTGCATACAAAGTAGTGTGATAATTTCCATACTTCTAATGAACTAATTTACAACCAATATCATTTCTATGTTGGTGTTAATTTAGTACTTTGATTAATATCTTTAATAGGAAAAGAAAGTCACTCACTTTTTTCTAAATGATTAATTATCCAACTGTAAAGATTGAAGAGCCCATAAGTTTATTTCTATAGTGAGGTTATTAAAAGTAGCCACTGTTGAGGAGTTTCAAACTTGTAAGGTGTAACAATTGCCTAGTGTACACTTCTCTTCTATGTTTGTTTAGCTAAATCTAATTTCCCAATGTAAATTGTTTTCAGATAGTTTCAATAACTATGTTAGCATTAGTAAAGATAATTATGTACTTGATGTAAACTATTATTGACTTCACATTATATTTTATTCATTCAGCTACTGTATTATTTGTTTTAACATAGTTTTAAATGAAAGAATGTTAAATTTGTCTGGAAATATGCACATACAAATAAAATAACTCAGTGTTTGTTTGATAGACACTCAGGTAGTTGTATAGTTTATTTTTTTGAAATGGAAATAAACCGTTTTATCCAGGTTACTAACAGAAACATTCTTTTATTGAAGAAATTGTCATTTATTTAGCCTGAAGTTAAAACTTTTATATCTCTGCAGATTGAAATGCTAATCAGAAGACATACAACAACAAACAAACAAATATTCACTGGAAACTGTTGAAAAATTTTTTTTGGCCTGAATGTATTTAGTGAAAAAGTGAAAATGTGAAAAACAGACTTAAAAATTTTACTTGTACAGAATATTATTACTTAATTATTTTGTAAGTATACACAATGTTGGTTATTTATCACTTCATACACTAGTACATAACAAATATCAATCAATAAATTTATGAACTAACTAATTTACCATTGAATAATGATATTTTAATGCATCTGAGTTTGTTAAAAAATGCCTATAGATGGTATAGTTCACAAAATGACCACAGTTAGGGATATCAGAAAGTTGAGAACAACTATTCCACCCTAGTAAGGAACATCTGAACAGTGCATCTGTA